CGTCCTGCCCTGTCCCTCTCGTCCCGTCCCGTCCCCGTTCCCGTCCAGTCCCGCCGGGAATGCGGCGGTGTCCCTCCCCAGCCCGGGGCGGACAGAAGGAAGGAGGAGGGTGCCTGCCCTCCTCTGCCGGAGCAGGGAAAGGGGCAGCCGACAGATTGGGACCCGAGGGAGGAAATCCCCTCCCCTGCCAGCCCCATCTTCCTGGTTTTTCTGCAGGTAAATTTGGTGTAGGATGGTTTGTGTTTCTGTTTGTGTCTATTTGCTCCTCACCACGATAAGAATGGAACATACCTTTTACTCGAGAATTGTAATTTATTTCAAAATTGACCCCTGCTTTCAAGGAAAAAAAACTAAAACAAACAAACAAACAAACAAACAAAAAACCCTACTCAACTGCAGCAACTTCAGAACTTCAGCTGTCCCATCCCTGGAAGTGTTCAAGGCCAGGCTGGATGGGGCATTGAGCAACTGTCTAGTGGAAGATGGCCCTGCCCATGGCAGAGGATTCAGAGCATGATGATAACTTTGGGATTTCTTTAAACCCAGACTATTCTGCCATTCAGTGATTATTTTTGGCAGCTGCTGCCCTGCTGTGTAAGCTGCAATCATTGGCATGGATTGGGTTCTGTCAATTCTGGAATTATTTGGCCCAGATCAAGTTACCAGATGCTTGATGGTGGCTATGGGAGTATTAGGTAGAAACTTTTCTGTTTCTGAAGTGGGAAACGTTCAAATCTTGCTGTGTGGATATAGTAAAGAAAGTCTTAAATGTTTGTTGTGGTTTAATCCCCGCTGACAGATCACTTCCACCAGTAGGATGGAGGGAGAACTGGAAGAGTAAAAGTGAGGAAAAGACAGTTTAATAAGGAAAGCAAAAGCTTCACACTCTGAAAGAGAAGCAAGGAAAATATTCACTGCTTCCTATGGGCAGGCATGCGTTCAGTCAATGCAGGTAAGCCAGAATCTGTCAAGTGTAATGGTGAATTGGGAAGGCAAAACACCATTGCTCTGAGTGTCCCCTTCCTCCTTCTTCTTCCCCAGCTTTATATTCCAAACATGACACCATAGGGTGTGGGATGTCACTGTGGTCACTTGGGGCCAGCTGTCCCAGCTGTGTCACCTCACAACTCATTGTGCAGCCCCAGCCCACTCAGTGGGGTGAGAGGCAGAAAAGGCTTTGACATTGTGTAAGCACTGCTCAGCACTAATGGAAATATCTTTGCATTATCAACCCTGTTTCTGTCATAAATCCAAAACACCAGCTCATAAATCCTCATACCAGATACTATGAAGACAATGAACTCCACCTCAACCAAAACCACATTGCTAAATGCAAATCCTTGACACAATAAATCCTGTAAAGCAGACCCAAGTCAGAATCTGAGGTCACGTAATAACATGTAATGTCATACTGTGAAATTAGCTGGGGCTGCTGTATGTGGTCTTTAATCCCTGCATTACACAGCCATAAAAGCAACACACTGGAAAGCTAAGCAGCTATCTGCTTTTATGCACATGGGGTTTTCATCTGCTCCTCAGGGGATGGTGAATGCTGCAGGATGAGGGGGAAAAGTGACAGGAGGAAGGAATTTGTTCTCAGGATTTGTTTGCAGTGGCTAATGTGCTTTGTGAAGTCCGTGGCAAGGCCTGGGGATTGCAGTGGAGTGAGTGACCCTTCCCAGCACTCTGTGGTTTGTATTCCAGCATCCAGGTGGTGCTGGGCCCTGCTGCTGGAGGCCCAGGAAAGGCTGCCAGCCCCAAGCCCAGAGGGTGTGTTCAGCAGAGGTGTCCTCAGCCTGGCTTCTGTCACTCCAACAACAGAGACAACAGCTCTGAGCCTAGAGGATGCCCTGCTCCTGGCATCCAGCCATCCCAAACCTTAATCCCTCTGAATTACCTTTGCC